AGAGGAAACGGTGGTGGAGGTTTCTCCACAGTAATTTTCATTGGTGTAAGTGGATATTCTAAATCTGGGTATTCATGATCCTTTTCTTCTTGCATATCCAATTTATTTTTTTCAATTTCCATTTCTTTCTATACTCTTATTTCCAATTCTTTTCCACTTCGTAATTGTATCGCTTTTATTTGCTCTTTTCCTTGATTTTTAGGATTTGGTTCCACAGTACTAGGAAAAGTTCCTAATGTTCGGTTACTAAGCGCAATAGTGATATGCCTCAATTGATTTTCAATATTCTTGATAGCATTTTATTGATTTTGTAATTGATTTCCTTGAATTTGTAATTGATTTCCTTGATTCTGCAATTGTTGAACCATGTTTAATATCATCTCTTCCCTAGACAACTTCCTTTTCCTTAATTGAGTGTTACTGTTAAATCTTGGAGGATAAGAAGGTCTATAATTAACATTTCCTTGGTTGGATAAATTTCTTACTGGGTTCACCGGGTTGGATACTAGCTACTCTTTTAGGATTTACCCATTCAGAGGGCCATTGAAAATTGTTAGTAGCCATCTCTTCTATTAACAAATAAGCCTCATCAAAAGGTTTTGACATTAAAGAACCACCAGCCGCAACATCTATAACGGATCAAAGTGATCCCACTAATCCATTATAAAAAGTTTGAATTATCAACAATCTAGTAACGAATGATGAGGGCACTTTCTAAGAAGATCTTTAAATCTCTCCGAAGCTTCATATATTGACTCTCCATCAATCTGACAAAATGATGTTATGTCATTTCTATGTTTAGCAGTTTTGGATGGAGAAAAATATTTAGATAAAAATTTCTATGAAAGTTCTTCCCAAGTTCTAATAGATCTAGGTGCTAACAAATTTAACCACATCTTAGCCTTATCTCTAAGTGAAAAAGGAAAAAGTCTAAGTCTAACAGCATCGTTCGAAACTCTGTCATATTTAAAGGTAGCACAAATTTCTAAAAAATTATCAAGGTGTAAATTAGGATCTTCATTTGGTGTACCTCTGAATTTATTGTTTTGTACCATTTGGATAATAGTAGGTTTAAGCTCAAATGAATTAGCGGCTACATCAGGATTTTGGATAGATAAGTGAATTTCATCTGTTGTAGGATTTTCATAATCTTGTAGGGGTCTAGGTTGGTGTTCATTTTCTATTCCTTGATTGCTCACGTTGTTTTCCATTGTGTTAGAATTTCTAGGTTCTCTTCTTAGTCTTCTAATTCTTTTAACAATGTGTTCTAATTCTGAATCGTAGGGTATAAGATTTTCAAGTCCAAATTTACACATACAATTGAAATCAGTACACACAAAAATAGTTAGCTAAATATGAAAATAAGTTGAAATTTCAGTAAAAGTTTTCTGATATTCTAATTTGTCTGTTACTCTAATTATGATTCTTATTTACTCCTCAACAACGACGCCAAAAACTTGACAGCGACTTTATATATGCTTAAAAATACAAGTATTTAGTACTGTTGTTAGAAGATTTAATTCCTCAATAACGGCATCGAAAACTTAATAACGGTTATAGATTCGATAAAGATGTATATATATATATATAATGGTAAAGTCACAAATTTTATGTATTAATGCAAGTATACGTATCAATGCACCCAACTTATCAATGATTACATCCAAGACGCCCGATAACTTTATTTTCCTATTTATTTGCACCCAACTTCCAAGAGCTTTGACCTCCCTGAATCTTGGATGTAATCTTCACTTTAGTGGTAAAACTCAATATATTTTGACAAATCAATTGGCGAGATTGAAAGTAAATTAAGGTCGAAGTGAAAAGATCATCACAACTTCTTTAACATTTTCAAGGCTCAATCAATTAAAATCACCATTTCACAAATCTCAAGACAAGGAGAAAGACAGAGAAAACTACTTAGAACTCATGGGGAAGACACGAAAAAACTCGGAATTTATATATAAAAGTAAAGTCATACAAACTACAACAATTAAATAACACTTATCTCAAATTCCTCTCCAAGCAAACTCCTCGAAGTTCCTCTGATTCTCTTCCTTTATTTACAACACAAAGAATTCTTCTTCGAAGCGACAAGGAGGAAGAAATCACTCACTTTCCCTCCACTCTTACAATCTCTCAAGGAATTCCTCACAATCTAACCCTAAATTAGACTACCCTAAATTCCTCACAATCTAACCCTAAATTAGACTCTCTACACACTATTGGAACCTCTCTAACACTTGCAACTCCCTCCTCCAAAGCTTCCAGAGCCTCCAATTTCTAGCCAAAGTCTTCTTTTAAAGTTGTAGAAGAGTTTTCCCAAGAGTTGCCTAAGCATCCCTCCAAAAATCGTCCACATTCAATGCACCTTTTGAAATAACCACTGATCTCGCCGTGAGCCGCCTCAAGGGCGCCGTCAGCAGACCTTCTAAATTATTTGATCTGAGTCTTGGGAAAATCTCACTGTCGGTACCGTTGGGCTCGTCGTCGGTGCCCTAGTTCAATTCTTCATATTTTGATCCTTTTCACTCCAAATTAGCTCCTTTTTGCATCTTTTTGCTCCAATGACCATAATTCATCATACCTGCAACAAAACATCAAAAATACCTTTTTTTAAAGTGCAATATCATCAAAAATAGTATAAAATAGGTATGAAAATCTCAACATATTTTCCTTTGGTAAGGATTGTAATAGAATTTTATGCCAACCTTCCTGAAGCTTCTGATGATTATGTATTTGTTCGTGGAAAAAGGGTAGAATTTACTCCAAAGAAAATAAATGATTCTTATTCTATAGAAGATGTGTATAGATGTCAGTATCATTCTTTTTCTGTTATAGATCACGATTTAGATGAAGTTATTTCTTTTCTGACTAGTGAGAAAGGGGCTAGGAAAATAAAAAATGGAGTTAAAGTTAACTTTTTCTGTACTAGTTTGAATGTAGTATCTAAAGCCTGACACTATTTTATTTTCGGGAAGATGATTCCAACGAATCATCATAGTGACCAAGGATAAATCCATCCTGAACTACTGTATTTAGCAAGTGATGGATATAAATGTAGGCTCTATCATTTATATGAACATTCGATCTATTGCTCTGGGAGAGACCACTGGTGGATTGGCACACCCTGCTCTTATTTTCACACTTTGTGAGCAAGTAGGAGTTGATTTCAGACCTAATGAGGAGAGGATTAAGCCTCAAAGACCTATTAAGCCTACAAGGGCCTGCCAACATCAAGACTTATGAGTCCCATGTGATTGGAGATCTGGAATACAAGTCAGGGATATTCCTTCTACTTCTAGACCCCCTGGTGAGCCTACTTCAAGTGACCCCAGCAACAGGGAGTTGTTGGATCAGATGATGATACAAAAGGGAGATTTTTGAGGATGGAGAATAGGATGCAAAATATAGAAGCCAGAAATGCTCACACTGATGATTTGATTCGCCAAAAATTTGAATATGATGTTGCTTATTATGATGCTTTAGTGAGATACCTGAGGGGTGACCATACAGTTCAGTTCCCTACTCACCCTACTTATACTCCATATCAATAGCATAAGTTAATGTCGATGATGAGGAATATGATGACTGGTGATCTATTTTGTTTGTTTGTTTGTGTTTGTACTGTGTGATTGTATTATTTTTGTTTTGATGTTGTTTAAACTTCATTGTTATGTTATGTGAAACTGTAATGTAGAAAATTGTTTTCATTTTTAAAATTTAGTTTAGTTCTGTTGTTAGTTTCAACACTTTGTTCTGTTTCGTGATTAACTCTTTCTCAGCAAATTTTATATGTATTATGTGCAATTTAATATTTTTAGCCTTGCAGTTTTCATTTTAGCACCTGCAGTATTTTCAAAATTTATTTTCAAAAATCAGAATCTCCAATAGATATAATTTTATTTTTTTATGAATTTAATGGTTTCTTTTATCCTTCCTTTTTAAAGCTCTTCATGTAAAAATCTTTTAAAAATTTACGTTTGGGGGGGAGAAGAAAAAAAATCATTTTTAGAAAGAGAGAAAGAACTTAATTTTATTAGTCCTCACTTAATTATATTTTCAAAATTTTCAATTTAATATCTTAAATTTAATATGATCATTAGTATTAGAGGTTAACTTTTGATAAGTATATTTATGTTTCAAAATATATAGTTAATTTAAGTAAAATTTTTTAATAATAAAGGTTAATTTTATGAGCTAAGATATTTGGTAAAATAGAGTAAGACTATGTTTTTCTATTTTTAGTAAAGGAAATTTGTATTTTTGAAGTATTAAAAATCTTAAAAGATTCATGTAAAAAGAAAAGAATTAAACTTTATGAAATCTTTAAGTTAATATAAATTTTTATCTTTAAGTTTAAGAAGAAGATAGTGAAGTTTAAAATCATTAAAGGCTATTCAGATATAGTAATCATGACATATAAGAAAAATAAAGAGAAGAAAAGAAAGAAAGAAAAAAGAGGGGGATTAAAAATGATCCTGAAAAGAAAAAAAAGAAAACAGAACTAGGAATGGGTCTCCACTCCTTAGAGGAAGAACCAGATCTAGATCCCAGCCTTCCCCACATCCTCCACTCCATGATCAATCTACTTTGCTGGAATACAAGGAGGATGACTAACCCTCTGTCCCTTAAAAGAGTTTTATACCTGAATTATAAATACAAACTATGGTGCATTGTTATTAATTAAAAAATTTGCTGGCTTCACTCATTTTGGGAACACTAATAATAAAATTTGGATTTTTTGCAAAAGAGAAATAAATTTTGATCTTCTAATTGATCATCCAAAATTTGTCCACCTCTCATTCAATATGAATGGACATAAAGGTGAAGCTACCTTTACCTATGCTGGATGTACAAAGGATGCTAGAAAAGAGCTATGGAATAGGTTGATTCATATCAGCCAACAGGTGAACTCCCCATGGTTGGTGGGGGGTGATTTCAATTGTATCATTTCTACCACTGAAAAATCTTGAGGTAGAACTCCAAACCTTGTCAAAATGAATACCTTCAGATACAATATCCACAGGGCTGGTCTCTTTGATATGGGTTTCAAGGGACCTAATTTCACTTGGAAAAGGGGATCTATTTGGGAGAGGCTTGATAGAATGCTGGTTAATGATGCATGGTTCAATCACTTCCTTCTCACCTTTGTTACTCACCTTAGTCTTGATGGCTCAGATCATAGACCTATTCTTATAAGCATCACCTCAACTGATTACTATAGCTCCCCCCTCCCCTTTAGATATCTCAACATGTGGGCTGCACATCCATCTTATAGTAATTACATTGTTGACCTTTGGAAAGGGGTCTCTCACCCTGACCCCTTAGTCAAGCTAAGCTTACTGTAGATCAAGATTGCTAAAGCCCTCAGAGGTTGGAGATGGAACACTTTTAGAAATGTTCATGCCATAGTCCAGAAGGCTGAAGATGAAGTCAAAGCTTTGGAGAATGGGGGACAGCTTGGTATTGAGGAGGAGAAAAAGCTGCTGAGAAAAAAGAACAACCTCCTCAGTGCCAATGATTACTAGGAAAAATTTCTTACACAGAAAGTAGCCATGAATATCTTCACTGATGGGGATAGAAACACTAGATTCTTTCATGCCTATATCAAATAAAAAAGAAAATGCAATACCATCCATGGTATACAAAATGTCAATGGCCAGTGGTTACATAACAACAATGATATAGCAAATGATGCTATATGTTATTACAAAGAACTACTCAACCAGGAACATAACTTCAGACCCAACATTGAGAAGGCACACTGCATGGCAGAACTGAACTACACTGCTGGTCTCAAGCTTATTGACATCCCCACTGAAAAGAAAATATGGAATGCAATCAGTTCCATAGATAGCAGTAATTCTGCTGGCCTTGATGGTTTTACTGCTGAATTCTACAAGAAGTCCTATGAAATTATTAAGACTGATGTTATTGCTGCTATTACAAGCTTCTTCCAAGTCAACAATCTTCCAAAGTCTTTTTGCTCCTCCACCACTGTATTGATCCCTAAATATGAAATACAGAAAAATTGGAATCATTTCAGACCCATTTGCTTGACCACTGTCATTAGAAAAACCATCAGTAAAATCATTGTGAACAGGCTACAACCTCACTTGGACTCTATCATTAAACCCAATCAAACTGCCTTTGTGAAAGGAAGGTCCATCATTGATAATACTCTTCTGGCCCAAGAACTTCTACAGGATTTGAATAAAGCTTGTAGAGGGGGTAATATGGTTTATAATCAGGACTTAAGGAAAGCTTATGATACCATAAGCTGGGATTTCATTTTGGAGGTTCTAAGTGTTAGAGGATTTAACACTTGTTTCTGTCACCTAATCAAGAGGTGGCTGCACAACAATGAACATTCCATCCTCATAAATGGGCAAGGTAGGGGCTCTTTCACTGCTACAAGAGGTCTAAAGCAAGGGGATCCACTATCACCCACCATCTTTATACTTGCAATTGATTATTTGTCCAGAATGCTTAATGAAGCCTTGTTGAATCATAGTCAAAACAGATACCATCATAGATCCAACATTTCTATTACTCATTTACTATATGCTGATGACAAAATGGTATTCTCCAGAGCCAACAAAAATGCTATCAGAAAAGTCTTCCAAATTTACAAAAGTTCCAAGCTATTTCAGGAATGGCATTCAATCCAGCAAAGTGTCAGATGGTATTCTATAAACATGCATCCTCCACTCACAAACTTTGGGCATCTGATTATACTGGTTTCACAACTCTCAACTCCCTATTAAGTACCTTGGGGTGCTTCTTATCACTGGTAGAACCAAACAAGCTCAGTTTGATGAGGTACTGAATAAAATCTCTAACCTTCTTAATGGGTAAACACATACCCTCTTGTCTAATGGGGGAAGAATTACCTTGTTAAAGAGCATAATCACTACCTTCCCAGCTTATATACTGCAGATGACTACTATAAGAAAAAACACTCAAATACAGCTAGAGAGACTATTTAATAAATTCCTGTGGTCTGGTCAAAGACAGCAAATGCATTGGGCTTCCTGGAGGAAAGTAGCTAAACCTCAAATTGCTGGACCTCAAATTGCTGGGGGAAGGGGGAATTGCCTTTAAGGACCTTGATCAACTCCTTCAAGTCAAATTCTGTAAACTCTGGATTAAGTTTAGGACCCAAAATTCACTGTGGGCAAAATTCATGTGGGGTAAGTATTGCAAAGATCAGCACCCCACACTGGTCCTAAGGAAAATTGGTGATTTTAGAATTTGGGTGAAAATGCTGAAAATCAGACAAATTATTGAAACCAACTACAGTTGGGAGCTGGGAAATGGGGAAATCAAGTTTTGGCTTGACATTTGGTGTCCCAAAGATTGGCTCTCCCCCTTTACCATTATCTACAATAGTGATTTGAAAGTGGCTGATTGTTGGGATGGTGATAACTGGTCCCTGGGTATGGAAACTGTTCCTAAATCAGTTGATAATTGATCAGAAAGAGCTCACTTGGGATAGGCTGGTCAATTGCTGGTGGCACTGGAAGATAAGGAAGTATGCTGCTATCCCCTTCACCATTGCTTGGTTCATCTGGATGAAAAGAAACAAGGTCAAATTTGAAGAAGCAAATCCAAATGTGGGGATTACTGCTAGAAATTGTGTTACTTACTTGCATAAGATTATTAATTGGAAAGGATTTCCTAACATTTCTAACTCCTGTACATCCATTAAGTCTGATCTTATTCCAAGTCATTAGAGTCTAAGTCATTAGAGTCTACTAGAAAACCCCAAATCATCCTATTGTGAAGATTAACACTGATGGACTTTCATAAAAATGGAGCTGGTGTGGGAGGTATCTACAGAAACCATTTGGGTAAGTGCTTGCTGTACTTTTATACCCCAATCCTGGCCAATGATGCCACTGAAACTGAACTCATTGCTGTGTATTGGGCAATCAACCTTGCCACTAAGGCTAATTTTAATAAAATTTGGTTGGAAGTGGATTCTGCTGTGATTATTCCCCTTTTAAATCAGGAGGAGGAGACTCTCTGACACTACTCTTATTGGATAAGCAAAATCAGAGACCTCACTAGCAAGATACAAATTCAGTTCACTTTCATCTATAGGGAAGGTAACCAGCCTGCAACCTGGTTAGCCCAACTTGGATCACACTCTAATGAGACTGAAGTTGATGGCAACCCTCCACATGCTCTCCTTTATCTACTGCAAGGAGATATACTAAATGTCCCTCACATCAGAATGATCTACAAAGATAAATGATTAATGTGGGGGTAGATGCAATCTCACACTTATTTCCTTCTGTTAAGTCGTTGTAGTATTTCTTTTTTTTAGGGTGACACCTAGCTTTTTTGGGGGAGTTCGTTCCTGTATTGAACCAAATAGTGAAGTCCCCAGCCCCCTCGCTGATGTCTGTTGTTGACCTCATTTTTTGTTGAGGTTTAGTTTTTCCTCTTTAGTAGCCTAGGGTCTAGCCATATGACTTTTCCTATTGACTATTCCTAGAAAACAAAACTTGGAACCCTCACCACTAGAAATTCCAAACCCTTTTTTTCTCAACTTGAAGTTCCACATATTGGTCCTAACCTCTAAATACTTAGTAGGTGGGGTCACTGTGGGGGAAACTCAGGATGAGTCGCCCTTAGGATTGTTGAACCTTAAGGTTGACTTTGGGTGTTGGTCTGGAGCTGAGGCACTCAATACACTTATCTACACCCACATTCACTCACAACTATGAACTCAAATTTCTAGCCTAGATCCCTTGATCTTTTGGGATACTCATGTAGATGGTCCCCTAAACCTACTAGCCCTAGCGCTATGGTTTAGCTAAGACCCCGCTAAGACCGACCCAAAATGGGATTTCCATTGGTCAATGGCTTATTGGTGATGATTGGTACCTCAACTCTAGGTGATTCCAAGGCTTATTGGTGATGATTGGTACCTCAACTCTACCAAAATACCCATCTTGGCCTTTTACCCCTAAAGCACCCCCAAATTACCAAAATCCCCTCTTGGGCTCAAAATCCCAAAAAATTAAAAAAATTCCCAAAAAATCCCAATTACTTCCACACCAAAAAATACCAAAAAATCCCAATAAATCCGAATTTCATTTCTTTCAACTACTACATAACCCAATTTGGCCAATTTGACCATCTTTAACGAAAATCCCCAAATTGCCCTTTAAAGACCCAAATTTCCCCAAATCCAACTCAAATGTCCAACAATTTGATCTCAATTGACCCCAATTCCAACCCTAAACTAAAATTAACTTTTTATGTGACCAAATTAAACCAAATACAAGCTCAATTGGTCCATGATTTGAGCCCAATTTTGATTGGGGTCAAAACCCCAATTTTGACCATATGACCTATTCTCACCAAATTGAACCCATAGCCTAGTCAATTGGCCTCAATTAATGTTCAAAATTCTTTATTACATTCCTATACATCAAAATCAACCATAAATTGGCATTGGTAAAGCCTCAAATCTATTTGATTTTTGGCCTAAATCCAAAATTCCCAAATTTAGCCCCAAATTGTCTAAGTCCCCAAATTTCACCCAATTGATTTCGTTAATCTCCAAATTAGCATCCAACTCATGTTGGAAACTCTTCATGAGGTCTCTATTGACCATTTAAAATAATCAATTTGGACTTAGCCCAAGGCTAACCCAAGCTAGACCCAAGCCTA